TCTTAAATCTTGGTGAATAGATGTAATTTTTTTATCACTCACACTTCCAAGAATTTTTCAGAAAAAGTATAAATGAGAATGTAAGAAATTAATTATGGGGAATAAATCCAGATCCGTAAGTGGAAAAAATTTTTTTCAAAATTATTTTTTTTTTTATTTTCAAAAAAAAAAAAACGTAACAAAAAAATTATTAAGAATCGGATAAAAACAAAAAAAGTGGTAAAATAATACGTTAAGAAAGTAAAAAGTTTTATATTATTGAATTTTTTGGTGCTATCACCCAAAAATTAATTCTCCTTTTATATATTTTTATAATTTAATATTTTTCCAGCACTACTGAAGAAGGATGCTTAATAAAAACCACTTTATCTTAAAATTTCGACGTATAGGAAAAAAAGAAAAATAGTTAATTAACCAACGGACTTTTCCAAAAATATAACCAGCAAAAAAAGAACTTCCAAAGAAGCGAAAAAGAATTAGAATTTACTCCATGCAAGTACTGAATAAGACCTGAAGAAGTGATGATTTTAACACAGGCTTGTCATAGGAGAATGTCCTTTTATTTGATTCCAAATTCACCACTTCTGAAGTCAATCTCAAGAAGTAATTTTTATGCTCTTTTTTTTTGAAAGTTATTCGGAAAATTATTATTATTATTTTGAAAAAAAGCTTCCACACATAGAACAGTTGATATGCATGTGAAACTAGATTCCATTTATAGCAATTCTGCGTACTCCGATTTGTATAATCAGCTCTTATGTTCTTATAAAAGGCCTTACAATTTCAAACGAATATTTTAAATATTTATATGTGTTGTATGATGCTAATATTGGTCTCAAGTGAAAGCTGGGATTTAGTACATTCTATCTATATTATTTATTTGATTCACTTGGACAAAAAACAAAAATTAAATTAAAATTTGTGAAAACTTTTAAACCAATTTCGACTGATTTTAATATCTTCATGTGAACTTGATATAAAAGTCCAACGCTAAAATCCTCTTCACATTCTCAAAAACATTCGCTAAAATGACAAGTAAGAGTGTTATATTCGGCTGTGCCGAATCTTGTATACCCACCATGAAATCATTGCCAAAAAGGAATGCTTCCTTATAAATAAACTTTGATATTTAAGAATCCATGCTTTTATTATCCAAACAATTTTCTCATTTATTACATCTATGTATAGAGAAATTTTTGTCGAATTTTGTCGCTATACTTGCATTTTTAAGGTAGTAAAAAGCGTTTAAGGTATTTTCTGAGAGGGACCTTATTTAGGGGGGGACGTTTGGTCAATTATGGACCGATCCTCGTCAAATTTTCTAGAACGATTTTAGTTTAGTCTAGTAATGAGAGTTAAGCCATTTTCAGAAGGAGACGGGTTAATGTCATTTATGGACCGATCCTTATAAAATTTTACAATAATATTAAAGTTCCTTATTAAAGTTCCTATAAAATATGTTCGTGTCGAATTTCATCGCTATAGATGCTTCTTTTAGACAGTAATGAGCCTTAAAGCCATTTTCTGAAGGGGACCTTATATGGGGGGTAGGGTCAATTATGGACCGATCCTTATAAAATTTTATAAAGATATTAAGGTTCCTATAAAATATATTTGTGTCGAATTTCAACGCTATAACTGCTTCTTTTAGTCAGTTATGAGCGTTAATGTCATTTTCTGAGGGGGGCCTTATATGGTGGATAGGGTCAATTATGGACCGTTCCTTATAAAATTTTACAATCATATTAAGGTTCCTATAAAATATGTTTATGCCGAATTTCATCGCTATAGATGCTTATTTTAAACAGTTATGAGCGTTAATGTCATTTTCTGAAGGGGACCTTATATGGGGGGTAGGGTCAATCATGGACCGATCCTTATAAAATTTTACAAAGATATTGAGGTTCCTAAAAAATATGTCTGTGTCGAATTTCATCGCTATAGCTGCTTCTTTTAGTCAGTTATGAGCGTTAATGTCATTTTCTGAGGGGGACCTTATATGGGGGATAGGGTCATTTATGGACCGATCCTTATAAAACTTTACAATGATTTTAAGATTCCTATAAAAATTGTTTATGTCGAATTTCTTCGCTATTGCTGCTTCTTTTAGATAGTTATGAGCGTTAATGTCATTTTCTGAGGGGGACCTTATATGGGGGATAGGGTCAATTATGGACCGATCCTTATAAAATCTTACAGTGATATTAAGATTCCTATAAGATATGTTCTTGTGTCGAATTTCATTGCTATAGCTGCTTCGTTTAGTCAGTTATGAGCGTTAATATCATTTTCTGAGGGAGACCTTATATGGGGGATAGGGTCAATTATGGACCGATCCTTAAAAAATTTTACAATGATATTAAGGTTCCTGTAAAATATGTTCATGTCGAATTTCATCGCTATAGATGTTTCTTTTAGTCAGTTATGAGCGTTAAAGTCGTTTTCTGAAGGGGACCTTATATGGGGGCTAGGCGAAATCGTGGACCGATATTGCTCATTTTCAATACCAAACAAACTGCATCAATATAAAATATTTGTACAAAATTTCAGCTCGCTAGCTGCTTCCGTTTGGACTCTATCGTGTTTTCAACAGACGGACAGACAGACGGACAGACAGACGGACAGACGGACGGACATTGCTAGATCGTCTTAGAATTTAATAAGGATCCAGAATATATATACTTTTATGGGTCTTAGATGAATATTTCGATGTGTTACAAACGGAATGACAAAAACAATATACCCCCCATCTTTTTTGATGGTGGGTATAAAAATGAAATTTTGTGTCAGTACCAAAAAATATTTCAAAGGGTAATTTTTTGGATCTCAATGTACTAAAATAATCTTTTTTTGCTAAATGTTGGTAATTTCTTAAATATATTTATATTTAAACAATTTTAAACAATCCACAAGGGAAGTAGAAAGAGCAGTATATGTTGATATGATGAATCCTTGTCCGTCCCTCAATGTTAACCTTTTATAGGAAAAGAAAAGTTACCATACAAATTTTACCCAGATATTGGATTTTGTAAATATGTTAAATTTAAAGCATTAATGATATAATTTATTTATTTTAATAAATCCGGCGATAATGAAAATCTGGCCACATTTGGCCCTATACAAGGATGAATTTAGAATTTCAACTTAACGCTAATAATATATGTAAGTATTAGTGTCGATTGTTCATTTTCAATAAATCGCTTAAATATGTGTTATTGAATTAAAAACCGACGTGAGACCTTACATAGAATATTTACTCGTACATCCGATTCTGAATATGGCATGAAATAATAATTGTCTTAAAAGTCCAAATTTTGACCTAAAACTTCTTATATTATCTTTATATTATATAGAAATTAAATCCTTCGAGTTTCTATCATTTGGAAATCATTTGTTTTAAAGTCAAATATTTTTTCAAAATTTAAATTTCTGGTAATTTTCTCATAAAATATTAACAATGAATATAATGAATATAATATTAATATTCAAATAATGTAAATTAAGATAACAATAAGTACAACTTCCGATTTCATTTCGTAATGCGCTGCTTTGGTAATTTGCAAAACATACTTCTAAAAAGTAGTTTTTAAAACTAAATATCTTTAATTAAAAAAAAAACGGCTTTTAGTTGATGCATTTTTGAAATTTTTTTATATAAATGTTCCAAAACATTCTTGGAATTTGAAATTTGAAAAAAAATTGACTCCCATTTTCTCAATGTTTTGTGATTTATTTTTATCGAAACGATATATTGAAAGTTTTTATACATCAATTATATATCTATCGGTTAAACATTAATCGGATATTGTGATTGTGGCCCTGAACATCAAATAGTATCAAAAAAGTACCATCGTACCAATTTTGCCATCGCTGACCGAAAGCATAGCGATCATTATAAAAAATTCACATTCAGAACGAGCTAGATTTAATGCACGAAGTGGTGTACTTTATTCGTTTTGTTAGTGCACAACACAACATAAAGGCTCAAATAGTCTATACGATGATTAATCAGCTGATTCGTTTTTGGCTTACGAAATCCTGTTAAGTCGGGCCATAAGTTTGGCCGTAACGTTGAACTTGCGTCGGGCAACGTTAAGTGACTGCTATAAACTGCTGACATAAAATATAAAAAAATGTAAACAAGAAAAAACAGTGGTGTTAAAATAATGTACATCCGAAAATTTTAATTATTACGATTAAATAAAATGCTTTAAAAATAAACAGAGTACGAAAATAAACTAAACGAAACGTTTGCAATTGTTTTGTTTTGTTTTGATCTTTGCAGTGTTAAAACAGAAACAAAACCAAAATAACAATATCGACTTTCTCATTTGGTTTTGTATTGTTTTTGCTTTTGAGCACATCATATTCATTGACTCAAATGTACGCAGCTAGAAAAGAAAACAGTGGGAGCAAAACTGAAAAGTTTTGAGCGAAACATTTTCGCAAACGTTTCCTGATGGTTTTGCTTATTACAAAAACTTTTTTGAGTAAAATTAAAAGAAGACTTGTAGGTTTAAGACAAAAGACAATATAAACTGACATTATTTTCAACATAAACGCCATAAAAAAGAAAAGACCAAAAAAAAAAACGTTTTTCGATACAATTTTTACTTCTTTTTATAATTAAATTAATTATAAAATAATCTAGCTGTAAACACAAAGAAAGAAAATCAACTCTGATTTTTGACACAATTCAGAGTTGCCTTTTTATTTGGTTATTCTTAAAAACAGCTGCTACGTTCTTACGTAGAAACTAAGTACACATAAACAGTCAACGGAACGCCACAGAACGGAAAAAGTTAAGGAACTTTCAAACTAACTGAGCCTTAAGGTATGTGCTCATTTAAGTTACCGTACGAATAAGGTACCGTTATTTTTCGAACACTGATTTTTATACATTTTAAAGAAGATAAAAATTATTGCACTTTTTTACATTTCTACTATTTCATTAATTAAAAAAATATTAATGTATTTATTTTGTTACAATTATTTTATAGCTGAACCATTGCCACTAATGGATTTATGTAGGCGAACAATACGACAGGAACTTGGACGTGCAAACTTAGAAGATCGAGTTCAACAACTACATCTTCCGCATTCGATGAAGACGTATTTATTGTATAAAAATCGTAGATAATACTTTTATTATAAGTTATTAATAATTAAATTTAACTGTAAGAATTTTATGTTAGTAGCAGTTATTGATTATACAGTAATAAGTTTATAAATACTCCGTTTAGCATATTTTGGTGTAATATAGTTATAAGTTTATATGGGCTTAGTTTTGTAAATTGACAACATTGTATACATAAGTATATCGTTCAAGATAAAAATAATATAACATAAATCTCAATATTAAAGATATAATAAAATATAAATTAAAGGAAAAATTCGGCGAATTCAATTAAATTGTTACCAGGTTGTTATTAGGTTATTTAGGAGACGCCAATTTGTCGCATGAAATTTTTACATATAAAAGGATCCAAAACATAGAAAAACGAAATCAAAATTTAGAGGAAAAAAACATAAATACGGAGTGAACAGTAGGCAAACGTAAACAAAATAATATTAAAAAAAGCGAGTGAAAATTTACATTGTGCATTTTTTATGTATTTTTGTTTTTACTTTTTAGTACTTAAAATATTTAACAAATTTAAACAATTAATATTTCAAAAAGCAAGTGAAAAAATTTAACATTGTGCATTTCATATTTTATTGTAATACTTTTTATAACAACGCACAGTGGGGCAGAATGGAAATTTTTTGGAAATAAAGCTGGCATTTCTAAACGGCTGATCCGATCGGGATAAAATTTGGCGTGAGCGTAGCCAAGGAGTATTCGAGTTTAAGTTTTGAAGATGAACCCTGCAGATGCCCCAGGGACGGCGCTGTGGCGGCTCAAAATTTTACGACATGTAAAATTTTTAAACTCGTGCCATTTTTTTGTTTTTCACCCAAATACAAAGATTTTATATATATTTTGTATATATTTTGTGAAAGCGCTCGACGAGATCTTGAAAAAACATGCTTGGACATACTACTTATCTCTTATAATATCCGAGTTATAGGCATTTAAAAATTTAGTGATACAAAATTTACCATACCTTGGTCCGCCTTTTTTTGAATACCGGGCGTAATTTTGGACCAAATGGACTCAATTTTTTCTTGTTAGTTAGACAACAAAATTTCCAATAATATACAAAAAATTTCAGATCAATATCATTTACAGATCCAAAAATATACGTTTTTTAATTTAAAAATTCGAAAAATTTTAGATTTTTGGCGTTTTTTTGCCAAAAATGTGTCTTAACTCTTTTATTAATAAAATAAAATTTTCTTTAAGAACATATAACAATTTTATAGTTTTCTAAAAGGTATCTTTACGCAGAACGCTTTGGCGCAGAACGGTTTGGCCTATTTTTTGAAAATGTTGCCTCTGCGTCCTTCCGAATATGACCTATTTTTTATCAAAACTTCAACTTTGGGCGACATGTTCTAAAATCCCAAAGCTGGGATCAGAAAACTGAAAGCAGTTTTGGAAACCTCAATATGTTTTCTATTTACTCCAAAAGTATTTTCCCAGCCCTGAAAGAAATGTGGACCCTATGGGCAAAAAAGTAAAAAATCCCATTTTTGGGATTTTCATTCCTATTTTTGGGAATTGCGGGATGCCCTTTGACCTTTTCAATTTATGAATTTTTTTTGGCATATTCTTATTTGAAATGACAAATTTAACAAGCGATGAAAATTTCATTGAGTTTTGTTCATAAATAAAGATTTTGTCATATATTACATATTTGTTTAATTTCTAAAACTATGATTTATATCAAAATTTTAATAGGGTCGCAGATAGCTACAACAATTTAGTCCATATTTATCCCTTAATATCATTTTTTAGTTAGATATGGAAATTCTCGACCCTTTACAAAAAAATTCAAGCCAATATCTCAATTACATTCAAAAATATGTTCATTTAAACCTGTGTCCTTTAATTTCATATTTTTCATATTTTAGTATTAAGTATGACAGAACATATTTAAATCTTATATTTACCTATTTTCTATTTGTTTGCTTATCCTTATAATTGAAAGGTCCTATTATGCTTAAATTTTCAAAAATTTATCATTTCGTTATGTTTCGTTTATGATCATGTAGGTAAAAATATACAGGTAATGAAAATTTCGATTCATTCACTAATAAGAAATATCAATGACTGAATTACAGGTTATAGTAATATAGTCCTAAATGTTAATAGGTAGACAATTTGTAATTATTTACTTTGAAATACCTGTATCGGAAATGACAAGAATTGGTATATAAGTAAACTTCTTAGATTTTAAGTACCATATTTAATAAATCTACAATGAAGTACGAAGAGTTGTGTTCCGTTTTATGGAGTGTATCTTCAAAAGGATTGAAGACATTTCAAATTATATAAAAACTACATATAGTAGAAAAGTAGACAAAACAGGCATATCAAAAATTGAAAACTTTTTGATGTAAAAAGTAAGTCTGTGGATGGAAATCAAAAGAAATTTCGATTAAAATTTTATAGTTGGATGGAAACTACTACGGAAATCTCAACTTACAACACATCAACAGGAGCGCCTTGCAAGTCATACGAAGACTTATGTTCAAGGTCAAAAAAAAGAGGGTCACACAAAAACTTTTTTCAATCTCAAATGAGGAAATTGCTGATACATATAACGAAATGCTGAAAAAGGAAAACCAACCTATGGATGTCGTACATATTGCAACTATTCTTCCTAATGCATCACCAAAACGACTTAAGCGAATTGTGGAAAGTATACCAATTCCAACATCACAATCAAATTTTACTGAAGAGGGAGCAATAGTGCTTATGTTGGAACTGGGTCTCAGTCGAAATAACAGCTTGTTTTTCTAAAATGAAAATTTGTCTTCGTTCTTAAAAATAACGAACGAACTTTACTTTTTTGTAACGAAAAAATAAATTTTCATGTGAGTGACAACGAAAGAGCTTTATTTTTCCATATATTTTTGGTTTTTAGAAAATGAATTCGTTCGTAATAAGCGAAAGAAATGTCAGAAATAGACGATAGGCAAAGGCCTTTCGTTTGCCCAAAAAACAACGAAAATTTTACCAAAATACGTAATAATATGTAGCCATTTGAACCAGAATGTAATTCGCAATACAAACCTTTAAAGTTCTTGAGACATTGCATACAATTTTCATGTTGTTTTTAAAAAAAAAACATTTTTTCATAATTTCAATTTTTTTCTAAAATTATTTTATTTTTGTTTATTTTTTAGGGTTAACACCAAACACCTTATTACTACATGAAAAATATTTAAAAATTCAGAAATGAAATACGTAGGCAATAATGTTCTGTTACGATAGAAAAAGCTCATTTCATTTTAGACATTTTTAAACGAAAACTTTCAAATGTTTTATAAAAACCTAATTTTAAACTTGATAGTAATAAAATGGTATGTTCGTGTGATACCATATATCAAGGAAAGCTCTGCATGAAAAAGGACACAATATATTACCATCATACAAGGCGATCCAGGAAAAAAAAAAACTATCCTACCATCACCTATTGCTGTTAATGATGTGGAAGCTTGTATTGATATATCATCTTTGCTCGAAAACACAGCATCAAGAATTGTGTCAGACTTTTCAGAAGACCAACTAAGGAAAATTCATAACTGTGATGTTGTCTTAATGTGTAAGTGGGGATGTGACGGTTTATCAGCACTTCCAGAATACAAACAAGCTTGTGGAAGTCGGACATTAGCAGACTACAAAAATGTATTTATGTCATCATTAGTGCCATTACGAATTCGTTCATATTCCCTTAATCCATCATCGTCAAGCATCGGAAATTCATTTGAAGATATATGGATCAATACAACTCCGGGTTCAAAAAATTTTTGTAGACCCATTGGATTTGAATATATAAAGGAGTCAAAGAAAACAACAAAAGATTTAGTGGAAAAGATGAAATTAATGCACTGGAGCCCATTTGCATAAAAATAAAGGAATTCTCTATTAACGTATCATATCAGCTAAGCTTAACAATGATTGATGGAAAGGTCAGCAATGCCATAACAGAAACTTCTTCCTTCTGGAGATGCTCAATATGTAATGAGAAAAAGTCGCAATTCTCAAATATAAACAAAAGCAGAAGTATTAATGAAGAAGACCTGTCTTTCGGAATTTCACTACTTCATGCCAGAATACGATTTTTGGATTACTTTTTACACATAGCATACGACCTCAAATATAGAAGTGTGCCAGAGAATCTTACTAAATCAACAAAAAATAATGAAGAATTGAAAGAACTGAGAGCTGCGGAAAAAAGCAGAATCCAAGAAGAATTTAAAGTTCAGATGGGATTAAACATCGACAAACCACTTCCAAGTTGCGGTAGTACAAATGACGGTAATACGGCGAGAAGGTTTTTTCGTGATTTTGAAATTACTTCAAAAATAACTGGAATCGACAAGGAGTTGCTTCGAAGAGTTAACACTATTTTAATGGCACTCGATTTGGGAAATCGATTTGGGGAATACACATCTGAAATTTCTAAATTACTTGTATCTCTGTATCCATGGAAGGAACTAACACCAACAGTACACAAAGTATTGTGTCATGGTCAAATAATAATTGAATCGAATATTCTTCCACTTGGAGAGTTAACAGAAGAAGCCCGGGAAGCGAGGAATCGAGATTTTAAGCACGTTCAACTATTCAGCTCAAGAAAATGCTCCAGGCAATCACAGAATGAAGATATTTTTAATAGTTTACTTCTATCTTCTGATCCTGTTCTTTCAACTATGCGAAAAAGATGGATTTGTTATGAAACTCTATCATCTCAAAACAAGGAAGATTTAAAGGACTTATATTACCTTCTGGATATGTATACCGATATGACAGATTATTTTATAGAAAATAAGTAGTGTTAGGAATTAACTATATAAGTAGGTTGTAAGAATTAATTGTATTATGTTTAAGATAAACAGTTCAAATAAAAATAGCTATTATACTAACTGATGATATTGTATTAAATTGTGTTTTATGTTTCGGTGGGCGGGAAAGGTGGTTTGTGTGGGGTGATTTAGGTGTTGTTGTGCGTGGCTCATAATAAAATTATAATTTTTTTATTGTATATACAATGTTATAGTCTTTAATAAAATAATTAACTAAATAATTTTTAAAAATTGTCCAAATATTTTATTCAACACCAAATGTATGTTCTGTCATACTTAATACTAAAATATGAAAAAGATGAAATTAAAGGACACAGGTTTAAATGAACATATTTTTAAATGTAATTGAGATATTGGCTTGAAATTTTTTGTAAAGGGTCGAGAATTTCCATATCTAACTAAAAA